CCCGAAAAAGTAAGCTACTTTCACATAATTCAGGCATATGTAATGTCAAACTTATTTATTTAAGTCTGACATATATTTGAAAAATAACGCAGAAGGAGAAAGGATAAGGATGGAAGTGGAATCAATTCATTTATATTAGTAAGAAGTTAAATCGGTGGGAAGAAAGTAATATAAACCAAAGTAACGATTGGGATTAATTTCATTTGGAGATACCCGGATAAAGGGCAAAATTAAGCTGAACATACCTGAATGAAATAAGTCGAGAAAAAGTGTGATTGTAAGAGATTTGATAAGGGATAAGACAAGTTCAAAATGATATAAGCAAGCATAGCGAGCACGGAAGGAAGTAGGTTAACCCGTGAGAGTTTAAGACGTACGTACGTGAACGCGACAAGGTTAGGATCTAATGAATAGAAATGTTGGCCAGGTAAAGTATATGCTATCTATGAGAGCAGCAGTCACTCTTCATAAAGTATTCGATTTTTGACAGTTTGGAAATTCCATAGCAGAATTTCTCTATGAATAAAATTAATAAATTGTTCAAATGAAACTGTCGAAAACTTGTACGCACTATTTATCATTATCATTGTTATCAGTATCACTATCATTATTATTACCATTACTAACACTATTATCGTCACTGTCACCATTGCCATTATTATCGTTATTGTCATTATTAGTATTTTTTATTTATTCTTATCATTATTTTTATTAATTATCATAAATGTTAGTATTATGAGTAAGTATTTTGAGTGAAAGTCGAGCACAATTTTTTATCAATTCATTGCTTTAAAATGATAAATTGCAACTTTCATTTCAACGAATTTTTTTAGCATCCATGAAAAAATTCATGAACTGGGGATGAAACTTATAAACGAATTAAATGGTTTACAAATAAAACTTGATTTCTTTCAAACATTTCAATCAAAAACTGAAATTGTATGATTGCGATACGATGACAAGAATTACAGTATGCTGTAATCGAAATAAAACTATTAATGGAATGTGAAAAAATGAAAATAAAACAATTTCAACTTCTTTTTTCATGTGCTCATTAAATGCTATTTGATCTAACAAAGCTAAAGCTAAAATTGCAACCGACATTTTGCACACCAAAAACACTTCGATGTGTTAATTGTAATTCTCTCTCTCCCTCAATATACTATGCAAAAATGTCACCGCACTTTCTATCCAATCAGAATTTTTAGGAAAAGACAGATGACTCATAATTAGCTCTTTTCTATCAAATTAAAAGAAAACCTGCTAGGGATGACTTTGACACCGTTACAAGCAAAGCAATATGCTTTTATTAGCTCATATGAAAGTTAATCGTATAACTCAAGAGTGCATAATTTACGTTTCAATCAAAATTACATATGCAATTTCACTTGAACCCAGAGCAATTTCCGCCAAACGTATCATTTCTCTTTATGAAACTTATCATTTGACCTTTTGCCACTATTCACATCATCGACAAGAACAGAATGTACTGAATGATATCAGTAAATAATCAGTGAAGGAATGAAAGGCTATTATGAATTTGTAATGAATCAACTAGCAAATCACATCAAAGTAATTAAATGATGTGATATTTTTTCGTCTTGTAGCTTATATTGTTTGAAATTTTTGTAATCGCTCTGCAGTTTCAATTTTTAATTTTAGAATTAACAATTTCAGACCCAAATGTTATTTTATAAATTTCAGTTTTGTTTCTTAATACAAGCAAGTTATTGATGACTCGAAAATTTGAAGCGTAGAATATATGTGTGTAAAAATATTTAACGAAATAAGATTTTACATTTGGTTAAAAGCTAATAATTAAATGTGCTTATATCTTTGCAGGAAAATCACATATATACATCGTAAATGAAAATCAGTTTAGGAAGAGAAATAATCTTTCAAAAAAAAACGAAAACAAAAAATTATCGAATGATTATAAGTTGTAATTTTAGTACTTTTATTTTAAATAGGATATTTGGTATTATTTTAATTAGGACAAATTGGCTTTTATCACAACTGATTATTTCAAAGTAGCTATCTTATAGAAAATTCAAAGCACAAATCTTTTCTAATTGGTAAATGGAAATTAGATTAGTTGTAATTGAAACAGAAGCAGCAATTTTACAACTTATTCATTATCATAATGTAATCATGATACCTATCAAATTATGATAATAGATAATGATAATTTGTTGAAAACAGTGATAACAAAGACAATAACAATATCAATTTTTTTTCTAATATTCATTTTTTATGAAACGAAACATTTTTTAAAAGTATAATGACTTATTTATGAAATTCATTTGTTGATTCGATCATTTTGATTTTTTTTTTCACTTTAATAACAAATTAAGAAAAATAGGATCCTTCTGAAATTTATCATCATATGAACTGTTATTCCAATCTACCCACTTTTTCAAAAAAAAAAAGTTTTTTTTTTTTAAATTAGGACAACTTAGTTGTGAAATTAGTTGAAGGATAAGTTATTGTTAAGAGTGTTATATTATTAAAATCAAACAAAATTTTCAGCATACTTTTTGTTTGTTTAAAACTTTGGAAATGTTATAAATATTTCATGCCATGAACAAATTGCATAAACAATCGTCCTATATGTATTTTGATCAACAAAAAAAAAAAAAAGCTTAATTATTCTCTACAATACTTCGAAACTTTTTTCCTATTACTTAAGTAAATTCTCTCTTCCAACAAAATAACTATTCATTTAATCGTTGTTTATATGAATTTCCCCTACATTTTAATTTTTTTTTTTTTTTTTTTTTTGGAAAAGATTTTTTTTTCTAAGAGGTAAAAAGAGAGAAAATGAAAGAATTGAAGATTGTGTTAATGGTGCGAATATTTAGTGATATAAATAATATCTTTAAGAAAGAAAAAAGAAAAAAAAAATGATTGTTAGAAACTATTGAAGCATAGCATTATATCAAAAGATTGTGTTTATAATTTACTCAATTTTTCCCTTTTTTTTTTTTTTTGTTTTCGTTTCATTTTAATATTTCGTTAATTTTTAAATGTGTTAACATTCTTCTTTGTGGTGTCATTTCAGGGTAATTTATTTTATATTGTTAAAGTTTGATTTCAAATCATTGGCAAAAAAAAAAAGAAATGAAAAAATAATGCAAAGATTGGAGAAAACATAAATAAAGTTGAAAAGAAAAGCAATAATGGCCGCTTTAGTAGAATTAAAGAGGGCCAATAAAAGCTTCACTGATATTTACACCTTTTTTTTTTCTTTCTTGAAAATTTGAGATAGTGTACTTTTTAAAATGAAAGATTTATAAAGTGAAAAGCACAACGAACTTTCATAAAATACCTTTTCCAGAAATATCTAGCACAGTAAGTTCTTCTTTTTCCTCATTTTTATTGATATTTGTTAATTCTAAGATTAATCATTTTAAAGAATATTATCAAAATTTGCGAAACATTCATCATATTTTCAACATTTCAATTTTGTATTTCCAACGTAACAATATGTTAAACGATCAAATTACCTGTAATATGTTAATTAGCTTTTGAGAAATTTTATGATCGGATGTTAATTTCATTCAATTAGAAATGTTAGCAGAGATTTAGGCCTAATAAAATATGAAATTATGAATTAATTAATTGAAATTAACATAGAACATTGATGAGATTTAATTTGTTTACGAAAGCTTTTATTAAATACCGTAACTAAGAGCGAAATGAGCTTTGACTTACAAATTTATTTATAAAAAATTTCACTCATTTTTTAGATCCAAAATCTAATTCATTCATATAAAAATATTACAATTTCTGCTGACATATAAATCAATCATTTGACTACAAAAGGAACAAATGAAATATTTTGTTGCTATTTGAAAGATGAAAATTTGTTGAAATGGATGAATCACGACCACCACAAGCACCAAGAAGAGAAATTGGTAAGTTATATCTAAAAAAAAAAAAGAAAAAAAAATGAATCCCTTTTGTTCTTTAGTGCAAATTAATGTTCAGCAATTTTTAGAGTGTATTTGGTTAAAATTTTCATTTTTAAAATTTCAAGCAAAGAAATGACATATAATTGCTAAATTAGACTTTGAAATGAGTTGATTTTTTTGCATATGTTCGCTTATATCGTTAGAATATATGAAATTCTTACAGCTGAGGTTTCGAAAAAATGGAAAAAGGTGCAAACAATGCTACCGGATGTGATCGATTATGGTGTTGAGCAGGGATTATTCCGAAACGTCAAGATAAGGTTATATCATGAGGGAATCATTACTAATACTATTTAAATTTCAGATAATTTAAATGCTTCATTTTGTTATATTTTAATTTTATTGAATTTTTGAAAATAAAAATATTTATTAAATCTTCCATCTGAACAATTCAATAGTATCTAGGAAATTAACAAATTTCTATAAGCCAACAAATTGATCAACTTTCAAATTTTAATCAATTAAGAAATAAACAAACAACTGAAAATAATCTAACTTAATTTTAAAAACCTGTATCCTTTGTATCATAATTAATCTAACAGTTTTATTTACGAATTTCTAGAATTTCCATTTGCTTTGTGTATCATTTAATTTCGTTTGATTCTTATCGAAAAAAGCACACATCAAACTGTCAACTTTGTGTATAATTGTCATCCTATCGTTGTCTTCTTTTTCTTTTTTTTTTTCCGTCCTTTTCTTTTTTCCACCCATTGTTATGATTGGTTCAAACAACAACGAAGATAAGAGCGAAGACGCATATACACACATGAATAAAAGAAAATACATCAACTGTAATATAAATTTAAAATTAAAATTAGAAATATATAACATTTCAAAAACGAATAATTTAATTTTGACACAAGTAAGAAAGACTTGACATTTTTATGGTTTCATTATTGCTTCATTAAAAATGAAAAATTTTTTAAAAACTACCAAGTATTATATAAAATCCCTTCAAAAAAAAAAATAGGAAATTAAAAAAGACACAACAATTTACATTATTCAATAATAATTAATCATAGAAATATGTTTACATTTTTGCAATCTTTTCATTCTTCCTTATTAAAAAAACCAATTTTTGTCAATTCATTATTATTGAAGGGTGGTGGAAATGGATTTAGTTTGACAAGTTTGATAAAAGCAGCTGAAGCTGATATTGATCACAATGATAAGCGTCCTGGTGATACACGAATTCATCTACCAACCAATGATATCACTTTAATGCATTCTGCGGTACCATTCCTTCCGTTACCCATTGCTATATTTTGTGCTATAATTAATATTATTATGCCTGGATTAGGTATATGAGTTACATTTCATATTTATTTCAATAATTTGCATTTAATTATTTTAAAATGATACTACAGAGTTGCAAGAATAAAAATTTTAAGCAGATAGTAAAAATAGCAAAAAATGTAAATGAATGGTTTTTCTTTTAGCAATATTTTAGTAATATATAAGTATCATTACTAAATTAGATTAGAAAGTATGTTTTGATAAGAATTACAAAATTATTGTACAATTATATCATACGGGGATTTATACTTCTTCTGATAGATTGAATAAACTTACCAATATATTGACATCCATCCAAAAAATTCGACAATAATTGAACTGTTTCACTTATTATATCACTAACAATTTGATATCTTCAAATCAACAATGTACATTGCAAATTTAACTTCAAATGTGCAAGAACAGATCATTACTATGTCTCGAAATTTGATAAGATGATATGATAAGACACTTAATTTTGTTCTTTTGATAATTAGTTTATGAATTAATGATCCATCCTTAATCTTTGCAATAGGTAACGTAATGACCAATCAAATAATAATTCAGGAACAATAATGAGTGGATTTTTTGCCTTATGTCTTGGACAAACACGTGTCAACTATCGTGAGGGTCAAAAATTGATGACCATAGTTATTAATTCATTGGTTGGTATTAGTCAATTTTTTACCATTACATTTTTATTTGTTGGATGGTTTTGGTCAATGGCTTGGGGTGGTTTGCTCATTATCTATTCAGGTAATTTCAAAGTTTCTTTTCTTTAAGTCTTCCAAAGTTCTTAAAGTTTCAAGGTTGAAATAACACATAAGTAATGAAATGCAACCTAAGAGAATTCATTTTTCTTTTTTAAATCGATTCACTATCAAATAAAAATCGATTTCAATGGAGTACAATCAATATGTGTTCATTTTACAAATGATAATAAAAGCATAACTATAAATTATTAAATTTTCTTCATAAATCATTAAGTATATATTTGGACATCAACTAATGATTAACAGTTAAAAGAATTTCTTCATTTCAAGTAGTAATTCTTGCAAATATTCGAAAATATACTACTACTATTCGTGTTAATTATAATTTAGAAAAAAAAAGTCAAATTAATTCTACTAATCATATTAATTATAGTTTGAAAAATGCTAAACCATTAACTGTTAAAGTTACTTGCTTTTCTTTTTCTTTTTTTTTGCTATAACAATAAAGAGATAATTACAGTACAATATCGTGATGCACTACGTCAACGTCGTCAAGAAGCAATTGCAACAGCAGCATTGGAAGCATTAACTCGAGACTCAATTTTGCATCGTCGTGATGTGAAAACGCTGGTTACCGAGCATAAAGAAAAAACTGAAACAAAAAAGGATGGTGGAACAGGTGCATAGGTCATGATAACATATGACAACTGATAATTGTGCTAATGTTATCACAAAAAATTTCAATAATTTTCTTCAATTTACTGTTTGCATTAGTTTTAAATGTTCTAGCTAGCATTATATTGATGTGTTCTTGCTTAGATGATAAGATGAAATGAAATGACAGAATAGTATAAAAGCAGGAATATAATGAAATAAATATATAAACATTAAGGGAAATGTAATTACCCTCTCTTCAAAAATAAAAAAAAAAAAGGCTTTTTTTTTAGAAATTATGGAATAAAGTTTAAGATTTTCATCCATAATTTTTTTTAAAAAAAAATATGTGTCAATCTATTTCTAAAACAAATTGAATTCCTCTGTATTTTCCTATTTTGATTTTATCATTGCTACAAACACCTTTGATACATCGAAGGATGAATATTTGCGACAAATTTAGCATCTCATCGATAATATCGCTCAACTGCTTCCTAACAAAAATAAAAAGGAAGGAAAATAGAAGTGTCAGATAATTAATGATTTTATCAGTGATAACATGAAAATCTTAATTTATAATAATTCTTAAAGAATTATTCCTAGTAATCTTATCAAGAATTCGTTTAGGAAACTATCGTATACAATATACCAGAAAATGAAATATGAATCTTAATACTAACCATGATGGTCTTTTTAATTATATAACTTAATTATTTCAATTAAATGTACAAGGTATACTGTAAAAAGTAAACAGAGTGAAAGTATTCTTAACATCATCTATTGTTATCATATACTTCGAGATGAAATGTTTACTAATAAAATATGAAATTGAAGAATTTTTGTAACTAATTCCAAAGATGGGAATTAACTCAACTATTTCCTTATCGTTATCTTAGCCGACATTTTTTTTTTTTTGAGAAAGAGAAAAGATCAGTACAAACTATTATCAAATCTTAAGATATGTAATGATAATAATTTTCCATTGTTGAAAAGTTAAGGCAAAAATAATATGAAATGAAATCTTTTTCTGTTAATGACTATAGTTACAGTGAATTTTTGGTTTTTTTAATGCTTAATTTAACAAACCTTTTGCTCTAGCAATCAACACATTGATTTACTCAACAAATACACATTAATGATACACTGAAAATAATCAGCGTAGTAAAATTAATACTGCCATTGCATATGTAAACACTAATCGGACAAATCCAAGTCCGATGAAATGATAATGATTTCCATTAATTAAGATTTGTATTAATCTATATTAATTAATGTAACAGAAATAAATACTTTAAAAAGTAAAATCCAATATTGCATAAAATTTGGATCATCATAATTGTTTGTAACCAGGTTATTATGCACAGGTTTTTTGCATCCAGAAAAAACAGACATTTTGTAATAAAGTATGATTAGTGTGAGAGTATATACATATCTTACAGATATAACTGTTATCAATTGGTTAATTTAAAATATTTCAATATAAAAAATTGTTTGCTAAATATTGCAATTTATTAATTCATCAATGTAGTTCTTATATTTCAGAATTCATAATCAACAAAAATTTAGCAGATTTTTCACTTTTTTTTATTCCAAATTTCTCTTTTAATTTAATTTCATTCACAACTTCATATTAAGGTATGTTCATTAAAAAAAAAAAGGTAAGTGTTAATCAATTTTTTCATACATTAAAACGATATATTATCGTTTCTTCTCGATAATAATATTAGTGATACTGGAATAATATGCATAGGTTTTTGGAATCTAGCATTTTAAGCATGCATTTATCACCGATAATCCATTAAAAACTAATCACTTTTTCTGGAAATCGAAAAATAAAAAATGCCCATGGAGCTGTCCCATACCTTTTTTCTTTTTCTTTTTTCCTAAATTAAAATTATATTAAAAATTTTCCGATATTTTCGGGATTTAAAATCCTTATATTCATGAAAATTTCACTGTACTAGCATCTGTTAATATGTGATTTGCTACTGCCGATAAGTCATCAAGTAAATGGGATACGGTAAAGTGTACCACTTGAATTGAAAGTAATCCGAGAAACTTGTTTCAAGTTAGCCTTCCCACGTATAGCACGTACACGTATACCTGATATGCAATAATAACATCGACTTTTGATACATCGAAAAAATCAGCTGAAAAGTCATGGATTTCTTAGATGCAATGAAAGAGAAATTACGAATGATACTTGAATCATAATAAACTCAAACCATAAAATTTGCGGGTTTAAATAATTAATTCTACGGGATTTCATTATGGCCACTCTTACAACTTTCTATCTTGTTAAAAGTAGTGTAGATGAGTGGTGATAGTTTGAAGATAAAATAACAGAGAAGTAAGGTGAGTGAATGACCACAGGTCGAATGTCGATTCGAATTTCTCTGACTAATTAACTCAGACATCCGATTCGACGATTCGTTCTTTGGTCATTCTATCCGGCATATCAACATCATCTTACTGCTAATATGCTTATGTAGTGGTAGTAGTATAGTAATAGTAGTAGTAATAATTCATCCATTCATTCAGACCATTTCAGCGTTTACTTCTGGGAAATCAAAAGTTCCAAGATCATCCTGAAAATCTTTGCTAAAATAGGACATCTTGACAATTATGATAACAAACTACTATACAACAACTCTATTAAAATAGACAACAAAATAATGAAGAAAACTTTGTGACAATTTAACAAGACAACATTAGAAAAAATTAAAAAAACATAATTATTTTCGAATAAATCATTTATCCAATTGGAATTGTTAAATCAGAATCACGAAATATTATAATTCACAAAATTTTGAAACTCATGATTATTTCATTTGGTAGTGATAAATTACCTCATGTGATAATGATATAAGAGACATCGCGGCCCCTCCAAACAAAAAATCATTTGATAAAGATAAAAAAACAAGACCGGAAACCACTCATTTGATCGATTTTGAACAGGGATGGAAAAAAAATGGGTCTAATTCTTGCAATCATTCTAAAATTGCTTAACATTTAATTTTCATTCATTTTTTTTTATCCATTATACCTAATATTAGTTTCATTTCTCATTGCAAAAGAATATATTGCATTACTCGTTGTTTCTTTTTCTTTTTTTCTTTTTTTTTTCAAGAAAACAAACAAAACACTAAAAAATCTGCAATAGTTAGAAAAGCATACACTATAATTTTTTCATTAATTTAATAATTAAACGTAACCATGTAAATCATCTAAGCTAACAATATAAATTTTTATTTATTATAGCTAGATAACTGATACTGTACTATGTTAACAATTAATTAATCAATTCCTAATTAATTAATATTTTTTTGAATGAATTACTTCCCGGTTGTTTAAACTTTATATTATTGATATACAATAATATCATAAATAATTGTAGCAATAATTGTAATCGTAATAATTATCATAATCATAATAACTATGATAAGCAAACATAACTGTAATCATAATCTATCAATAATAATACAAGCAAGAAAATCTATGAATCACAAGTAACGATTAGATAGCACGCATCGAACCACAACCAACACACATTTGCGCAACAGTCAATTCTTGTTGTTCGGATTTTTTTTTTTTTTGCTTTTTTTTTTTTTTTTTTTTGAATAAAAGAAGACACAGACGGGTGAAGATAACACGTACAAAGACCCGGTGAGGAGGGTTATAGGATAACATCCTCGGGATAGTAGGGTTACTGGGAGGGGAAAAAAAAAAGAGGAATGGTAAGAGAGGAGCTGAAAGAAAATAAGACAGAGAGGTTAGTGATAGGATTGGTTTGAATTGAAGAATGAAAAAAAAAAAAACTAAAAAAAAAAAAGAGGGAAATAGGGCAATTGTTGTGAGGAATTGGTAATAGGTAAGAGGATTTTTTTTTTTTCTCTTTTTACCATTCTTTTCCTTTTTTTTCCCTCTCTTCTATCTTACTTCTCTATCATTACTTAAGTTTACATTATATTTGAATTTTATACATATACGGATTAAAGCTTACAACATTAATTTTAACAATGATCAAGGATCGTTAAATTGGTAACCGGATAGCATACAAAAACCCACCACTTGTAAACCATCACCGTCATCATTATCATCATCATTCCCTCTTCTATCATTCGATTTGCACATTGGCGGGAGAAGCGGTCTTTGTTCCGTTTCTCTCTTTTTTTTTTTTTTTCTTTTTCTTTCCGTTCCGTTCCTTTGTTCAATATTGGAGCGGAGGAGAAGGAGGAGGGAGGAGGAGGAGGAGAAGAATAGAGGAATGGGATGATAGTAAGTAGTAGAAGGAGTGGTAGTAGTTATAGTAAAGAGGTTTGATCAGGACAAATGGCAAGGGACAGGGACAGGGAAGGGACAAGGGACAAGGAAAAAGGAAGAAAGGTCGCTTTTACAATTCTTTTTCCTTCTTCTCAACCGGATCTATGTTAGCGACCTTCATCATTACCATCAGAATTTAACTCTCCCTCAACCTCCCTCATCTTTGCGGGACATCTTTTTTCCTCTTCTATCCTTTCCTATCATTTTGTTCCTTTTTCTACATAATGGTTAATTCTTAAATGCTTTTGTAAGAAACAGCTGGAATTTTGAGAAAAATTGGTCTTTTATGTTATAATTGAGATATTCGTTATAAAACAAACCAACAATTTTTACAAACCAATAATTTATAATATCATATATCAAATAAATCAATAATGGGATTGATATAAATAGAAAGAGTTTGTCTGCCTATTCATGAAGAAATCACAATGGGTATCAAATTTGTAGGAAATGCAAAAAGTTACTCTAAATATTATCAGATATAATAACATCGATTATAGAAAAAATTTTAAGCTAGCGAATTACAAATTTGTTTGATTGGTACTCTCAGCAATTGTGCATAAATGCGACAATTATGAATATGACAAATGGCTACATAATTTAATCAATTCAAAAAAAAAAAAAAAGATGTGGAAGTTAAGGTGATCGCTTCATCTAATATCAGGCATTGCTACTTTTTATGGAAAAGAATGATGATGTGACACAGTTTA